CCAGGACACATGCTTTCTTGCTCTTCCTCTCCACACTTCACTTGTGGGAACTGCGTCTTGTGGGGGCTTCTGTGGCTACCACTGGTTGCCTCCACATCTCCACCTAATGCCTCCTGGTGGGTTTTCCAGGTCCCAATTAGATGGCAGAGAAGACGCTAGGTACCCTGCTAGCTGCTTGAGACAGCTGTCATCATTCAGCGGGGCTCTGGCTGCCCAGTTCTGTGGCTGCTGCAGGTGTGATATTGCACACCCTAGTGCAGCGTTGGGCAGCACAGCTCAGGCGGCATCGACCTCAAAGGTGGAGACAACCACACCTCCCTCCTTTCAAATCCTACCATGTTACTAAGCAACAGTCCTTGCTTTAGGCACACTTTTGCTGTGACTTGAATTTACTATTACCCTATCCACCATGTTGAGCCATGCTGTTTTTTTCTCTGCACTTAAAATTACTTTTGTTTTGCTTTTCCCCATCTCAGATCCTTCACTCACGAGGTGCCTTGTGCCTAGAATACTCTTCTCAACTCCTGAACTCCTACTCAGATGTCGTTTCCTCAAGGCATTTCTCTCTGACCCCTTGGACCTAAGCCACTTTCCTTAATCATGACTTCATGATTTTATCATGTACTCAATGTTTATCTTCTCTGCTTGATTACAACTCCATGGAAAGGGGTACCATGTGTGTCTTGTTTATGTCTAGAGATCTAACAAGAGCTCAAAAAACAATTAGCATATAGAATCCAAACCCCTCTATTGCAGTCACCTAATTTCCCACATTTCCTTCGGACCCCCTCTATTCGAACCAGATTTTGGATTCATGTGGTTCCCCTACTGAGAGTATCTTCTCTTTCTGGTCAAATCTTAAGTAATCCTAATTATTTAGGGCCTAGCACAATAAATGCCTCCTATATTAAGTCTTCCAGACCTGAGTCAGAAGCCCTTTCATAATAATACTATGGCTGATCCTGCTGCGTAGGTATGCAAAGTTAAGCACTGAGTGGTTCCCCAATTATTTCATGCATGTGTGTCTCCCTAAGGGAGGAAGTGTTCCTTGCGAACACTCGTTTGTACATTCTTCTACAAATACTTACAGTGTCCATAGAGCAGGTGTAAATCAAAACCTGTTGATTAACTATTTTTTTGTACTAGATATATTTTAAATAATTAAGTTATATGGAAGAATACCAGGAGAATGAAGAAAAAGTATACTTAGAAATTCTTTTAAAAGTGCCCATCTCAAAATGAATTGATTTCAGAATTGTATAAAAGGTACTGCTTATTCCAAGCACAAGAAAAATTGTACAACTGTTATACATTGAACAAATTGGTTATCTCAATAAATTTTTTAATCACCCTCTTTTAGGAAGATGAGGACGCTAGTTTAAGGACTTAGTTACCCGAACTCACAAGGCTGATAATCAACTTGGTCTAAGATTCAAATCCTAATCTTGTGACTGCTTGACATTTGTGCCAAATTCTTTTCTCAATTTTAGAGGTACTATATCATCAAACTAAAACTTATTTTTTCTTCTATAACTAAAAATGATTGAGAATGTCATAAAAAATTAAAATCTGTGATAAATTTTTAAATATGATGAACATACCAGAAGAAACTGAGACAGCTATGGAAACAGTGATCTATAAATTAGATGAACCATTTCAATGATGTTTTTCTAAGGTGATGAATAGCTAACAAGCAGAATCTCCACTGAGAACAGAGTGAAACCAAGAATTTATTCTGTCTGGAAAACAGGAGGCAATGGGCCTAGAAGTTCCAAGGGGAAACAGGAAAGGCTCAAAGAAAGAGGACAAGAGCGCTGACCAAGAGCTAAGAATCCTTTCAGACACTAAAATGAGTTAGTCTGCAGATAATTCACAAATTCCCAAAGAAAATGGCATTTTCACTAATCTTAAAAATAAAAATGGCCAGGTGAGGTGGCTCACGCCTGTAATCTCAACATTTTGGGAGGCTGAGGCGGGTGGATTACCTGAGGTCAGGAGTTCAAGACCAGCCTGGCCAACACGGTGAAACCCATCTCTACTAAAAATACAAAAATTAGCCAGGTGTGCTGGCGCATGCCTGTAGTCCTAGCTACTCGGGAGACTGAGGCAGAAGAATAGCTTGAACCTGGGAGGTAGAGGTTGCAGTGAGCTGAGATCTCACCACTGCACTCCAGCTTGGGTGACAGAGTAAGACTTCATCTCAAAAAAATAAATAACTAAAAGCAAATGTATGTTGCAGAAATTTTTTTTAACAAATGGGTTTGTTTCCATTGCTTTTGTGAACAACATATCCATGTTTTCCATTTAAATAATCATGTGACTTTTTGGATTAAATAAAACTTACTAACCTAGAGTAGTGTGGCTTATATTTCTAACTGTAAAATATATAATGTATATGTTTAGGGCATGTCTTTGTAATTAATCTTTCAATCTTATACTTAGCATGTTTCTAGTACTCATAAAGTAAAGCAAATGTCTTTACTTTTACATTTTTCTTGTCAACTTTTTTCATTTAACAGAGATGGGGTTTCACTATGTTGCCCAAGCTGGTCTTGAACTCCTGGTCTCAAGTGATCCTCCCACCCTGGCCTCCTAAAGTATTATAATTACAGGTATAAGAGAACCATACCTAGGCTCTTGTCCCCCACTTTTTTTTGAGAAAAGGTTTGGCTTTGTTGCCCAGACTGGAGTGCAGTGGTGTGGTCTCAGCTCACTGCAGCCTCCACTTCCCAGGCTCTCAAGCAATCCTCCCACCTCATCCTCCAACGTAGCTGGGACTACAGGTGAGCACTACCATGTGTGGCTAATTTTTGTATTTTTAGTAGAGATAGGGTTTTGTTATGTCTAGAACAGGCTGGTCTAGAACTCCTAGACTCAAGCGATACCCCACTTAGGCCTCCCAAAGTGCTGAGATTACAGGTGTGAGCCAGCACGCCTGGCCACGATCCAATTTTTTTCTTTTTCTTTTTTTTTGAGACAAGGTCTCGCTTTGTTGCCAGGCTGGAGTGCAGTGGCATGATCTCGGCTCACTGCAACCTCCGCCTCCTGGGTTCAAGGAATTTCCTGCCTCAGTCTCCCAAGTAGCTGGGATTACAGGCCTGTACCACCACACCCAGCTAATTTTCTGTATTTTTAGTAGAGACGGGATTTCACTGTGTTGGCCAGGCTGGTCTTGAAGTCCTGACCTCAGGTGATCTGCCTGCCTCAGCCTCCCAAAGTGCTGGGATTACAGGAATGAGCCACAATGCCCAGGCACTGTCCACTTTTTAATATCATTCTTTCTTTATATGGTATTCAAGATTAATTTCTATTTTGAATACTTAAAATATGAATAAAAGTAACAAAAGGTCACCTCATGAATACTTGCTTTATCTCTCCAAGTAAGAATACTTGAGGGCATACAACTTAAACCTATTTAAGAACCTTATATTTGTGTTGGTTCTGAACTTTAGTTTGCATTATATTTTTAAAAAACAGCTTTAATGAGGCGTAATTTATATGCCATAAGATTCATCTTTATAAGTGTACAATTCAGTGATTGGAGTAAAATTATAGAGATGTGCAACCATCATTACATCTAGTTTTACATTTCCTTCACCCCCAGAAAATTTACTCATGCCCTTTTCAAAAGTGCATGTTCCCTTTTTGGTGTTTTATTTTTTGTTTTTTAAAAGATGGGGGGTTTGATGTGTTGCCCAAGCTAGAATTGAACTCCTGGGGTCAAGGGAGCCTCCCACCTCAGTCTCCAATGTAGCTGGGATTACTGATGCTTCCCAACACATCAGCTCCCTCAGGTTCACTGCAGTTAATCTTCATGCCCAGCTCCGCCCTACACAGCCACTAATGTGCTTTCCGTCTCTGTATGTTTGTCTTTCTCAGACATTTCATAGAAATGGAAGTATATAATAGTAGCCTTTTGTGTCTGCCTTCTTTAATTTAGCATAATGCTTTTGAGGTTTATCCATGTGTTAGGAGTTAATTCCATTTACTGCTGAGAACAACACCAGGGTGAACTGTGCAGATCCACTTAACGGCAAGTTTTCTCCCTCCTTGGCCATCCCTGAGACAGCAAGATCTACCATCCTCTTTCTCCTCCCCACTAAGCCTACTCAATGGGTAGAAGATAAAGATGAAAACCATTACAGTGATTTGACGAACTTCCACATAATACATAGTAAATATATTTTCTCTTTCATATGATTTTCTTAACATTTTTTTAAACAATAGCACATAACATATATAACATATAAAATATGTGTTAATCAACTATGTTATCAGTGAGGCGTTTGGTCAACAGTAGATTGTTAGTAGTTGAATTTGGGGTTGGGCACAGTGGCTCACGCCTGTAATCCTAACACTTTGGGAGGATGAGGTCAGCAGATTATGAGGTCAGGGATTTGAGATCAGCCTGCCCAACATGGGGAAACCCCATCTCTACTAAAAATACAAAAATTAGCTGGGTGTGGTAGCACATGCCTGTAATCCCAGCTACTCGGGAAGCTGAGGCAGGAGAATTGCTTGAACCTGGGAGGCAGAGGTTGTAGTGAGCTGAGATTACGCCACTGCACTCAATCCTGGGCAACAGAGTGAGACTCCACCTCTAAAAAAGAAAAAAAAAAAAAGCCGGGAGCTGTGTCTCATGCCTGTAATCCTAGCACTTTGGAAGGCTGAGGCAGATGGATCATGAGGTCAGGAGTTCGAGACCAGCCTGGCCAACATGGTGAAACCCTGTCTCTACTAAAAATGAAAAGAAAAAAAAAAAAAAAGTCAGGCACAGTGGTAGGCGCCTGTAATCCCAGTTACCTGGGAGGCTGAGGCAGGAGATGGCTTGAACCCAAGAGGCAAAGGTTGCAGTGAGCCGAGATCACACCACCGCACTCCAGTCTGGGTGACAGAGCAAGACTCTGTCTCAAAAAAAAAAAGTTAAATTTGGGGGGAAGCACACGAGGTCTAAGAGTGAGAGGCACCGCGTGTGAGCTGCTGGTGGGGTGGTCAGCACAATGCCCAAGGCCAAGGGCAAGACCCAGAGGCAGAAGTTCGGTTACAATGTCAACCAAAAGCATCTGAACCGGAATGCTGGGCGGAAGGCAGCGCCGCGGATCGAGTGCTTCCACATCCGACACGCCTGGGACCACGCTAAATCGGTGCCGCAGAACCTCGTCGAGATTGGGTTGGCTGTGGACCCCAACAAGGCGGTGCCCCTCTGTAAGAGAAAGGTGAAGGCCACGGAGGTGGACATAGAGGAGAGGCCTAAGGAGCTTGTGCGGAAGCCCTATGTGCTGAATGACGTGGAGGCAGAAGCCAGCCTTCCAGAAAAGAAAGGAAATACTCTGTCTCGGGACCTCATTGACTACGTATGCTACATGGCGGAGAACCACAGGGAGGACTATAAGGCCATGGCCCGCGATGAGAATTACTATCAAGATACCCCAAAACAGATTCGAAATAAGATCAATGTCTACAAATGCTTTTACCCAGCAGAGTGGCAAGACTTCCTCGATTCTTTGCCGAAGAGTAAGATGGAGGTTGAGTGACTGGTTTACATCACACCTGCCCCAGGCTGAGGCCTCTCCCTGTATCAGGGAGGAGACCTGAAGCTGGAGCCAGGGTGTAAGGCAAGGAGGGCTGTGTGGCTCCAGAGGGGCTCGCCAGATCCCGTGGAATCAAAAGGTTTTGCACGCACGCGCGCACACACACACACACACACACACACACACGAATGCATACTCCCCACTCTGGGGAAGGAACTTATCAGAGCCTCCAATTTATATTCTTCTGGGGGTTCATGGAAAAGCCAGAACCTGCTGTTTTCAGGGTGGGTGGTTTATTTGAATATAGCGTGTACATAAGAAAATAAAGATATTTTACTTCTAAAAAAAAAATTGGGGGGGAGGCAAAAGGTACGTGTAACTTTTTGACTGCATGGGGGTCAGTGAACCTAACCTTCTCATTGTTCAAGGGCCAACTGTAACTGCTAAACTATATTCCATCATATGGACGTATACCTTGTTTATTTATTCACCAACTGATGAGCAACTGGGTTGTCTCTACTTTTTTGGTTACAATAAACAATGCTGCTATAAGCATTTGTGTACAAGTTTTTGTGTGGACATTTCATTGTTTTCATTTCTCTTAGATTTCTGGGATTGGGACTACCGGGTCATATGGTATTTTTATGTTTAACTTTTAAAGAAACTGCCAAACTATTTTCCAAACTGGTTGTCTCATTTCACATTTTTACTGGCAATACATAAGGATTCTAGTTCATCCATATCCTCAATAAAACTTGGTACTATATGACTTTCTAATTATAATCATTCTAGAGGATGTGAAATAGTATTGTTTTGGTTGCACTGTTGTTTTGATTGCATTTTTCTAATGATCAATAAAATGTATAATGGTAAAATCCTTTGGTCATTGTAAAACTAGGTTGTTTATCTTATTAATTTATAAGAGCTCTTCAAATATTCTGGATACAAGTCCTGTATCAGATGTATGATCCAAAAAGATTTTGTTTGCATCTTTTGATTGTGTTAATGGTTTGTTTCTTTTGAATAACAAAGGTTTTAATTTTGATAAAATCTAATTTTTTAAAAAATAAACAGTGTGTTTGGAGTCATAGACAACATTTTTTTTTCCAGATAGAGTCTCACTCTGTTGCCAGGCTGGGGTACAGTGGCACAATCTTGGCTCACTGTTAACCTCTGACTCCCTGGTTCAAGCAATTCTCCTGCCTCAGTCTCCCAAGTAGCTGGGATTACAGGCATGTGCTACCACATCTAGCTAATTTTTGTATTTTTAGTAGACAGGGGGTTTCACCATGTTGGCCAGCATGGTCTCCATCTCCTGACCTTGTGATTCACCTGCCTCCACCTCCCAAAGTGCTGGGATGTCAAGTGTGAGCCATGGTGCCCGGCCAAGAACTTATTGTTCAGAATCACAGACTGTCTTCTAAAAGTTTACCATTTTATTTCTTACATTTTGTCTAATATCCACTGTGAAGTCATTTTTATATAGTATAAGGTCTCTGTTCTTCATTCATTGATTCATTCATAGAAACAGCCTTGCTCTATTGCCCACATTAGAGTGCAGTAGCACAATCATAGCTCACTGCAGCCTCAACCTCCTGGGCTCAAATGATCCTCTCACCTCTGTCTTCCAAAGTGCTATAATTACAAGCATGAGCCACCAGTCCTGGCTCCTTTTTTTAAATCTGCATGTAGATAACAATTGTTTCAGCACTAGCTGTTGAAAGACTGTCCTTCCCCCATTGAATGATCATTGCACTTTTGTTGAAAATCAACTGACCATAAAAATATTTATTTCTAGATTCTCAATTTGGATCCATTGATCTATATGCCTATCCTTCTATCAATGCCACAATGCCGTGATTACTGAAGTTGTGAAAGGGAGTAGTGTTAAATCCTCTAATGTTGTTCTTTTTTGAAAACAGTTAGGCCGGGCATAGTGGCTCACGCCTATAATCCCAGCACTTTGGGAGGCCGAGGCAGGTGGATCATGAGGTCAAGAGATCGAGACCATCCTGGGCAACATGGTGAAACCCCGTCTCTACTAAAAATACAAAAAATTAGCTGGGCATGGTGGCGCATGCCTGTAGTCCCAGCTACTCGGGAGGCTGAGGCAGAAGAATTGCCTGAACCCAGGAGGCGGAGGTTGCCGTGAGCTGAGATCGCGCCATTGCATTCCAGCCTGGGTAACAAGAGTGAAACTCCGTGTCAAAAAAAGAAAAAGAAAACAGTTTAGCTATCCTAGGTACTTTGCATTTCCACACAATTTTAGGATCAGCTTATCAATTTGTACAAAACATGTGCTGTGATTTGCCTAGGTATGTACCACAAGGAATTTGTATATCAATTTTAAGATAACTGCCACTAGGCCAGGCGCACTGGCTCATGCCTGTAATCCCAGAACTTTGGGAGGCCGAGGCAGGTGGATCATGAGGTCAAGAGATCGAGACCGTCCTGGTCAACATGGTGAAACCCTGTCTCTACTAAAAATACAAAAAATTAGCTGGGCATGGTGGTGCGTGCCTATAATCCCAGCTACTCAGGAGGCTGAGGCAGGAGAATTGCCTGAACCCAGGAGGCAGAGGTTGCGGTGAGCCAAGATCATGCCATTGTACTCCAGCCTGGGTAACAAGAGCGAAACTCCATCTTAAAAAAAAAAAAAAAAAAAAAAGATAACTGCCACCTTGACAATATTAAATCAAAGGGTATGAAAGGACTATCCATTTATCCAGATTTTCTTTCTTTTCGAGATAGGGTCTCACTCTGTTGCCCAGGTGAGAGAGTGCAGTGGCACCATCTGAGCTCACTATAAACTCTGCCTCTTGGGTTCAAATGATCCTCCCACCTCAGCCTCCTGAGTAGCTGGGACCACAGATGCATACCACTACACCCAGCTACTTTATTTATTTTTTATCTTTTTTTTGTAGAGACAGGGTCCCCCTATGTTTCCCAGGCTGGTTTTGAACTCCTGGGGCTCAAGTGATCCTCTGAGCTTGGCCTCTCAAAGTGTTGGACTACAGGTGTGTGCTACCACACATGGCTGAGATTTTCTTGGATTTCTCTCAATAATGTTTGTAGGTTCAGTGTGCAAGTCTTGCATTTCTTTTTAACAAGTTTTTGTTCTTAGGCTATTGAGAATGAATTCTTCTTATTTCATGGAATATTTTTGGACCATTCATGGCTAGCATACAGAAATACAACTGTCTTTTTTGGCTGGGCTCAGTGGCTCACACCTGTAATCCCAGCGCTTTGGAAGGCTGAGGCGGGAAGGTCACTTGAGGTCAGGAGTTCGAGACCAGCCTGGCCAACATGGTAAAACCCCATCTCTACTAAAAATACAAAAATTAGCCAGGCATGGTGGTATGCGCCTATAATCTCAGCTACTCAGGAGGCTGAGACAGGAGAATCACTTGAATCCAGAAGGCGGAGGCTGCAGCGAGCTGAGATCATGACACTGCACTCCAGCCTGGGCAACAGAGCAAGACTCTGTCTCCAAAATAAACAAATAAATAAATACAATTGGATTTTGTATACTGACTTAGTATTCTACATCCTTTCTAGACCTGTGTTTTAGATCTAGTGGCTTTTTAATAAATTCTATATGATTTTCTACATACACAATCTGTGAATAATGAGTTTTACTTCTGCCTTTCCAAACTGGACACCTTTTATTTCTTTTCTTCCCTTTTTACAATGGCTAAAATCACAACAAAAATGTTGAGTAAGCACAATGTTGAATAGAAGTAGTAAGAGTGGACGTCCTTGGCTTGTTACTGATCTTAGGGAGAAAGCAGTTAGTCTTTCACCATCAAATATGATGTTAACTGTAGACTTTTCATCGATGATATTTATCAGGCTGAGGATGTTTTCTAATGTGTTGAAGTTTTTTTTTATTTTAAATCATGATAGGTACTGAGATTTGGTCAAACGCTTCTAATACACCTATTGAAAATGGTTAGTTGCCTTTTTAATTCATTTTACTGATTTTCAGATGTAAAAAAATCCCATATATCCCATTCCTGGAGTAATGAATCCAATCCATTTTATATGTTACCAGATTTTATTTGCTATATATTTAAAAAAAATTTTATGCCTACATTCATAAGGGTTACCTTATTCAAAAGGTATATAGTTTTCATGGATATGTTTGTTTGGCTTTGATATGAAGGTAAAAACTGGCTCCACTGAATAAGTTTGGAAATGTTCTTTATTTTCTGAAAGTTTGTGAAGGATCAGAATTATTTTTTCTTTAAATATTTGATAGACTGCACTAGTGAATTTCATAGGAAGATATTTAATCCCCAATTCAATTTCTTACTTATTATAGGTCTACTCAGATTTGCTTTTTATTGAGTCAGTTTTGACAACCTGTATATTTATAGGATATACTTTTGTTCATTTCATCTAAGGTGTCTAATTTGTCAGTGTACAGAAAAAAGTAAACATGGCAGGTTTGAACTACTACCCTTCAAAGGGCCCGCTTACAATGTTGGCCCTTGGGTGACATCTGGAAAGACGAACTTGGGAAGGATTACATTATCGTAAGAATGACTCACTGTGAGTATGACTATGTGTTGAGTCCTCCTAGTGAATCAATGAACCTGTGGATGGTCATGGGGACCCCAGACAAAGCTACCATAAAGTTGTTCACAACATTCCTTTACAATCCTTTAAGTTTCTGTAGAGTTAGTAAGTGATGTCCTTTTTTAGTTGTGATTTTGGTAAACTGTCTTCTTTTTTTATTGTCGGTCAGTCTATCTAAAGGTTCGTCAATTTTATTGATAGTTCCAAGGAACCAACTTTTGGGTTTCATTGACTTTATAACTTTTCTCTCTCACTTATTTCTTCTCTAATCATTATTAACTCCTTTGTTCTACTGGTGTGGAGTTTTGTTTGTTCCTCTTTTTATAGTTTTTGAAGGCAAAACTTAGTTTATCGATTCTAGACCTTTGTTTATTAACCTAGATATTCAAAGCTATTAATTTTCATCTCAGTACTGCTTTCCT